ACGAATTTAAAATATACCGGTATACGTACTGGCTATATTGGAGCCTAGATTAAGTTACCTTAGCCATTAAAAATCTAGGAACCACTATAAAAGCTTTTTGTTTGTTCTGCTAAAAAAGTACGTGCTATTATAAAAGTGATTAATAATAATCACGATAATAAAACCAATAACTAATACATGAAAAAGGCGATTTAAACCAAACCATAACAAAACTATTTTTATATACTTGTTTAATTAGAACTGATATTTATAAATGACAAGCATATCGCTGAAAGGTAAATTACATTTTCCTAGATTATCACTCTTCTATTTGCCTTTACTTATTAGGTCTCTCCTAAATTTGGGAAATGTTCTACTATGAACTTTTTTTCTATACCCTTGTGAATTTCTCCATCATTCTAGAAATTTGTTGGCAACCTACTATTTTGTGACCATTCTTGTAACTTGTAGATTGAATGGGAGGGGGAAGTTAACCACCACAACCTTATAGTGTATATAGTGTATCTATTGTGTCCCCCTTTCTTGAGTTATACAGTCTCAGGGCTTTGACCAGCCAGTATTTGAGACGGTTTTACAGCGGCTAGTTCTCCATCTCCGATACCAGTTGTACCAAAGTTTATGGCACAAATGGTTGTTGTCTTGGTCCACCACCATAGTTGTTGTCTTGTCACAAACTAACCTAACCTAACCTAACAGAATCTTTATTCGCTGTTGTTTCTTAGCTTCACTCTACTAAGGTGTTCATTAAGGAGACAGTGTAGTGTTAAAAACCTCGTGATAACCCTAAGATTGTTCTTATTTAAATCATGAAAAATCTTTGATTTGTCTCAGTTGTAAGTCCAGAGAAATTTCTTCCAATGTCTTAGACCATTGGGTGATTTCCATTCCAGGTTCCGGATGGAGTCTTCCAGGTTCTCGAGTTCTGCTTTAAGTTGGTTTCCACTTGGAAAGTAGAACCGTTCTGATCCAGTTAGTGGAGCGTTCGCTCTTTTTCTAGCTCGACCCTAGAGTAGGAGTATTTTCTTTGGCTAATTTGTTCAGCTTCTCTAGACATTCTTTGATCAAGTTCAAATTGATGGTTACTGAGTTGATTGTCCCATTAAGGCTGCTTGACTATCGGATAAGGTGGTTATTTCTTGTTGCCGATAGTTCTTATCTACGATAAGTTATACGCATCTTTCGACAGCGTAGATTACTGCCTGAAGGATGCTGGGGTAGGTGCCTATTGGTTCGGAGCATTTATTTTTCTACCCAAGTACTCCTATCCCCGTTCCTGCTTTGGTTTTGGAAGCATCGATATATCACTTTATGGTATGGTCTGTTACCTGCTGAGCAAACGCTTCTCTTTCTTCCAATCCTTTTTATTGCTCAATACTATAGTGAGGTGTTTCTCACAGTGGTACCACAGATTATACAGATTATAAACTTTGTTTTTTCTGGTTCTTTTTCGTGTCTGTTTTCTGGATTGTTTTTCGTGGTTCCAATTTTCGGAATCGGGCACTAGTTAGGTTACTAGTTTGCGCACATAGCATGCCCACTTATGACCTCTAAAATGGTGCACAGCGCCTGACCGGTACAGTTATTAGAGAGATATCGGAAAACCGAATAGCGTCATGCAGTATTTACGCGCACCTTATCATGGTTACGATATGCGCGAGTCAATTTTTAACGCAACACCCGCTAATAACGTGACCGCCTGACGTAATATGCGGATCAATTACACCAAGCGTTATTTCTAAATAACATTTAAAAATTGCTTAAATGGGCATGTGCGGGTATTTGACAACCGGGGCCGGCCGGCGAGATCTTTTATTTTAGGTTATGTTTGAATTGTTTTGAAATATTACTTAGTTTTATTTGGTAATTTGATATTTAAGTAGTTAGGATTAGTTTTAATTAAATAAATATGGCCCAAAATATGGATTCTACCTCTTCCAATATTAAAGAACCTATAAAGAGGCTTAGGTTTACAGTAGATGACGACTTAGCCCTTCTAAGAGAATTTGTTGCTTGTTGCCCTAAACCCACCGGCAGACGTTGAACAATAAAGCACTTATTATATAAGCACTTTAGCCCTTTAGTTTTAAAATACCTAGTAAACAAAACAATTTCAAAGTTTTAAATTCAAAGTTAGGTTAAGTTTAAATAGCGGACGCGACGCGAACAGAATTCTTTCCGATCCGATAACTATAAATGAAGAGAGATAATACCACCTCACGTAAAGGAAATAACACTTGGCCTTATTAACGTCCATGCACCCTATTCGGTTTAGCGATATCTCTCTATTACGCTGTTTATTGTCATTTTACGCCAGTTTATTTTTGCGCATAGGAAATTTTACACGTTTGCACATCGTCATAAAAAACAATTTTCGTACCACGAATTAGGGGTAAGATTTTTATCTATAGTATACCTAATCTGTGGTGGTACATTCTTGGTATCTCATCCACTGGGAGTTCTAGAAGTGGAACTTTCCTTTTGATGGTGTTGCAAGCTCCTGAGCTAACAATTCTCCCAGTATTGATTCTTTCAGTGACCATTCTAATCATTGTCACATTGGCATATCTACCGATGACAATGTGCAGTAGTGTTAGGTCTAGAATGACCTCCTGCTGTTGGATAAGTTTTCATAGCTCCTGTGATGCAGATGCATGCAAGTATTTGCATTTTGCACAGGTTTTGCCTTGCTGTATCTGTGTAAAATGCACAGAATGTGACGTTAGATAAGGTTTCGGTAAGTCCGCTAGCATATATGTGACGGCAGTGGCGCATCTAGAGATTGAGTGTGGGATGGGTAGTGGCAATATTTAAATACAGAGTACCAAATTTAAATTAAATTTTCGCTGAAAGGTACTGTGACTGTGGAAAGAAATATACTTGATTGGTTTGGACTTTTTATGGATTGATATTGTTAATTCCTTTTGAGACAATTTTATTTTATAACTCATTTTATCTTATTCATAAATTTCCTTCTGGGAGGGGAAATTGCACCCATAACCCCTCCCGTATACCGGGTGCGTTTCAAAAGTGGCTCACCCCTATAACTTCTTTATTTTTTCAGATAAAAAACGAGATTTGATATGTTAGTATATGACATAAATTGGGATTGATTGGTATATTGAATTGTTTTTGGCCACTTCCTTTTTCACCGGAAATAACTACAACTTTTGATTTTTAAATGGCACTCTTGGTATTTTTTTACTTTATTCGATAGAAAATGACATTCTGAATAGAATGACATATCATATGTCAACTTTTGACATTCTCGCTTAATAAAAAATTGTATTTTAAAATTCAATCTAGAGTGCCATGGCTATGTTAAAAACACTAATTCTTCATCAAAGAGCCTTGGAAAAATAGATTTGATCTTCTCATGTTTTTAGTGTCTTTTCCTGGCCAGTTAGAAAATGCTCAAATCGTATTTTCAATCATATTTCAATTTTTTCAAATGGAACGAGGGTGGCTCATTAGCATATTTGGAAAAAGCATTTTTTACGAATAATTTGATACCACACACTCGGTATTTCGAGTCAAATTTTCGTTACTAACCGCAAGTTATAATTTGAAATAAACCATATGCGAAAATGTCAAAAGTTGACATATGTCAATGTCTTTCTATTCAGAGTATCATTTTCTACCGAATAAACTAAAGAAAATACCGTGGTGCCATTTAAAATTCAAAAGTTGTAGTCATTTCCGGTGAAACCGAAAACAATTGAATATGTCAATCAATGCTATTTTATGTCAAACTAGTTGAAGCCTGGCGCATCCGCCACGACATAAGGAAAAAAAAAACTTTATTTATTTTTAATTAAATGAAAAACAAAAAATCCGGCGACGACAAAACTGTCGTCGCCGAAGCTAAGCCGAGAAAGCTAATTGGCTCTTCTAAAAACTTAGAAGAGCCAATTAGCTTTCTTTTAGTAAAAAAAGCAACTTTCTAGAGCAAGTCGTTACTTCAGTAGAGACGACACAGATAAACATTACCATTTTATATATGTAGATACTAACATACCAAATCTCGTTTTTATAACTTAAAAAATAAAAAAGCCATAGGGGTGAGCCACTTTTGAGACGCACCCGGTATGCACCCCTGTGTGACCAGCTCCGTAAACTATAAATCGTAAAAAAACTGTCATAATTTGGAGAGCACGTGAAACTTTCTAATATTATGAAATAATCCGTGATGTTTTTATTTGCATACTGCACTCGGTGATTACATTCCTATTTTATAATAAATTAATATTGAAAAAAATCCCAGCAGTTTAAAACGATGCAAATTATTCATTTCTGTAACCTTGGCATCTCCGTTTTATTTACACTTCATCCGAACTTATAAATATTTCTCGCTTTTCCGTAACTCCGCGAACCGTATACACACGCGCCTTTTAAAAAATCGTTTTGTTGCTTCATTTTTATCGGAAAATAACGACCTTAAACCGTTGTTTCTTTCTTTTTTTTTTCAACTGAAAAACAACCCGCATTTTACATGACCCACATTTCCAGATGGCGCATATATCTAGGTGAGGAAAAATGTATCGAAATCGGGGCCGATTATTAGTCAAAACACTTTAAACCATATAGTTTATCATCGAAAATAGAGTAGATTATATTGTTTTGTATTATGTATGAGGTATATGAATAATTGCAATTAATTACTAATTTTAAAATATTGCATTTAAAGATTACAGGCTCGAAAAATGAATAATATTGTTAAATTATTCAGAGTATTCCGTATACAAGGATTTTCACGCAAATATTTCATTAAACGTCTTTTAAGATTTAATTTAGATACAAAAATTCTGGACGTTTTTATGTTTATTGTCTAGAACAAAATAACTAACATAAAAAAATGAAGGTTACATCTGAATTATTTGTTAATGGGTGTTTTTTTTTGAGAAAATTACATGTAAACACTAGAGTTTAATGTTTATCGGTTAATGTTAAATATTATTTATGCTTTTGAATTATTGTGTTAACATTTTTTTTACTTGTTACAGAAACTACCCAGAATGATACTGCCGTAGTCAACACTTCTTCTCCTGTTAATAAAAGAAGAGGATTTAGTGGGTAAGTGAATATAAGTTTATTATAAGTTGATTTTATATGATTTTAGAATAAACGTTAAAATATTTTTTTTGAAGAAATAATGTTGAAGGCATTCAGCGTACTTTTTCTTCAAAGTGATTTATCAAACATTATAGTTTTTTAACAGAGGGACAAACATTGGTATATTGTGTGTGCCCTCTTGGTATTTGGAGGCCATTTTATACTTTAACACCACTGCACATTGTCATTGGTAGATATAATATAGGATGATTGGGAGGGGGATTAATCACCGCGACCTTACAGATCTATTGTGTGCCTTTCTCTTATCATGCAGTCTCAAGACTTTGACAAAAGCCAGTATCTGAGACGACTTCACAGAGGCTAGTTCTCCATCTCCGATATCAGACGTATCAAAGTTGGTTCAACGAATGGTTGTCGTCTTGGCGCACTCAGCGATGATGTGTTCTAGTGTTTTTCCGTTTCCCGACAGAATTGGCATTCGCCTTTGTTTCTTAGCTTCAATCTACTGAGCTGTTCGTTGAGGAGACATTGTCCTGTTAAAAAGCCCGTGACAATCCGAAGATTTTTTTTACTAAAATCAAGGGAAATCTTTGATTTTTTTCGATCGTAAGTTCTGAGAAATTTCTTCTCCAGTCTTCCAGGCTATTCAGTTCCGCATTAAGTTGGTTTTCACTTGGGAAGTAGAACATTCCAGTTAGTGGAGTGTCCTTTTCTAGCTAGATAGTTTGCTTTTTCATTGCCTTCTATCCCTTGGTGAGCTGGCACTCAGAGTAGGAGGACTTTATTTTCTTTGCATAATTTGTTCAACTTCTCTAGGCATTTTTTGACTAACTTTGAATTGATGGTTACTGAGTTGATCACTTTTAGTGCTGCTTGACTATTGGATAAGATGGTATTGTTAGACAGGCCAAAGCGACAGTGATCAGAATGGTCGTTGACGAAGACAGTACTGAGAGAATTGTTAGTACAGGAGCTTGTAACACTTTCAAAAAGAAAATTTCACCTCTCCAACTAATGAATGACATAGCAAGAATGTGCAACTTTGAGAAACACCTCGCTATAGTATTGAGCAATAAAAAGAATTGGAAGAGAGAAACGTTTGCTTAGCAGTTAAAAATCCAAAAGAAGCAAAAAGACTCAAAGTCTCTGTCCCAACATTTATTATTAAATAAATTGTGACACGTGTTTCTTTCATACGAGCATCATCAGACAAAAAACAATAATTAAAGAAAAGCCATACACGTTCACATTTTACATGTTATTTTCAGTGTTGTTTTAATATGTAAAATGTGAACGTGTATGGTGTGTCTTTAATTGTATTTTGTCTGATGATGTTCGTATGAGCGAAATACGTGTCACAATTTAGCTTTTTAGTATATATTGAGAGCTGATTTTATTGAGATATATTGAGACAATTGAGAGAATAATGGACGCCTTTTTAAAATAGTAGTTAAAAGACCATAACATAACGTGGTATACTGATGTTTCTAAAACCAAAGAAGGAACAGGGCTAGGACTATTTAGGCCGAAAACTAAATACTCTGAACCAATGGACACTTACTATCTACGCTACTTACTATCGAAAGATGCGGAAAACTTATCTTAGAGAGGAACTATCGGAAACAAGAAATAACCATCTAATCCGATAATCAAGCAGCCTTAAGAGCAATTAACTCAGTAACCATCAATTCGAAATTGGTGAAAGAATGTCTAGAGAAGCTGAAGAAAATAGGCCAAGAAAATAAAGCCCTCCAACTCTGGGTGTCAGCCCACTATGGGATAGAAGTAATGAAAAAGCAAACGATCTGGCTAGAAAAGAAGCGACCACTTTACTAACTGGACCAGAACCGTTCGGCTTTCCAACGTGGAAATCGACTTAAAGCTGGAAGACCGCATCCGTAACCTACGGAATGGGAATCATCCAAATTACAACATTCATGAATACATTCGAAGTATTAAGATTTTCCTTGATTTAATTAAGAACAATCTTCGGATTGTCACGGAGATTAATAAGACACTATCTCCTCAATGAACACATCAGTTGATTGTAACTAAGAAACAATGGCGAATGCAGAACACCAGAACACGTAATCACTGAGTGCGCTGAGATGACAACCATTCGTGCCATAAACTACGACGAATGGAAAACTAACCTCTAATGACTTCGAGAAAGAGGAACACAATCGATCTATAAGGTGTCGGTGATTATTTTCCTCCCTCCCATACAATTTAAAATCCACAAATCTACAATCCCTGTGCCCCGCACCGTTTGTTCAGGCTCTTAATAGGATCGGAGGAACATTAGTTCCTCCTGTTTTAGCCTTGCTACCAAATAGAAAGTGTGTTCGCTAAGTCCAGACTCAGGATCTTTATCGCTGAGTCTGCAGCAAAGACTTCATGATACAGGTTGTACTTGACAGCCATCATATGTCTTCTCAAGAGACCATATGTTATAATCCGCACATTCGCCCTGCTAAGCATTGTTTTAGAATTAGATTCATAAACGATGGCTTTGGCTATGTCTGTGTGTTTTTTTTCATAACAAAGGGCCGTCCTCTGCCGCGCCGGAGACACTGCGACCTGTGAGGCCTACTGTGTTTGCCCCTTTTCTATATCTGCACTCATTCTCCTATCCCTGTGCCCTGCACTAACTTATGCATGTCCTTGATAGGATGGGAGCATAGTTCCTCCGGTTCTAGCCTAGCTTTCCCAAATAAAAAGTGTCGCTTGCGATCCAGAGCCTCGCAGTGACATATTATGTGCTCCGCTGTTTCAGGAGCTTTATCGCAGAGTCTACAGCAAAGACTTCCTTGATACAGGTATACAAGTTGAGCTTGTTCAGCTAACACTTGACAGCCATGTGTCCTGTCAAGAGGTTTGTTGTAATCCGCACTTTATTCCTGCTAAGAATTAGCAGTTCTTTTGCGGTTTTAGAGCTAGGTTCTTGAATAAAAGCCTTGTTGTGCCTGTACCCCTGTCTGTTACTCCAGTGGACATTCTGCTTTTCCATAATCCAGAGTTTTAGTACAGTACGGGCCATACATTTGGATATTCCCAGTACTGGCTCTGGACCAAGATAGGATGCCGATGATCCTTGCCTTATGTCTGTGATGCTCCAGTGGTTAGTCTTCTTCTTCCTGATTTACAGTTTTAGTGCACCATGGTCTTTAGTAAATTAAGTTGGATTAGGACTACTTAGTAATAATTTGCTGGCCATTCTTTTAGAATTATACGCAGAAAAAAATCATTAACGAAAATAAAATTCACTACTAAATGCTTCACCCTACAACACCCACAGATGGTAAAAAAATAGTCTATAACCTTAGACCGAGCTCAAATTACGCAAAATAACACATTTCGTCTTTGGATCAATTATTTTTTTTTATTTTGCCTATTTTTAACCTGGAATTCTTAGTAGGGCGACGGACGTCTAGGTAAACATACTTTTTCTAATCTATCCAATAAAAGTCAAAGGTGTTCACGTAAAATATATTACATACACAAGGCACAGTCACTGCTATCTTATCAGTAAGGTAATCTTACCGAGTTAACCAATTATGTTTAAAAATTGAAAAGGAATGTTTTTGTCAAAATAGTGTGTCTGGGAACCATTATTGCGAAAAGGATATTAAATATTTACTCTCATTCTTTTTGGTTTTTCCTACCGTTATATAGTTCTAGAGACTCTGGAAGAAAGAATGGAAAGTGTTATATTTGTGTAGTATTAAATCTAAGTGAATTGTGTTTTTTTATATTTAAATATGGGAAAGTTAAGAAAGTTCTTTCATAGATTGTGCAAGTGCAAGTGCGAGTATCATAGTATGGATGAGTTGCTTGATGACAGGTGGGTTTTAGAGTTTACAAGTTTTAGGAGCACTGGCTTTTAAATCCTTATACCGGGTGCGTCTCAAAAGTGGCTCAACCCTATAACTTTTTTATTTTTTCAGATAAAAAAAAAGAGATTTAGTATGTCAGTATATGACATAAATTAGGATTGACTGACGTATTCAATTGTTTTTGGTCACTTCCTGTTTCATCGGAAATGATTGCAACTTTTGATTTTTAAATGGCACCCTCGATATTTTTTATTTTATTCGATAGAAAATGGCATTCTGAATAGAATGACATATCATATGTCAACTTTTGGCATTCTCGCTTAATAAAAAATTGTATTTTAAAATTCAATCTAGAGTGCCATGGCTATATAAAAAACACTAATTCTTAATCAAGGAACCTTGGAAAAATGGGTTTGATCGTCTAATGTTTTTAGTGTCTTGCCCTGACCAGTTAAAAGATGCTTAAATCGTATTTTTAATCATATCTCAATTTTTTCAAATGGAACAAGGGTGGCTCATTAGCATATTTGGAAAAGGCATTTTTTATGAATAATTTGATACCACACACTTGGTATTTAAAGTTAAATTGCCGTTATAAACCGCATGTTACAATTTCAAATAAACCATATGCGAAAATGTCAAAAGCTGACATATTAGTAGATTCTATTCAGACTGTCTTTCTATCGAATAAAGTAGAATAATACCGAGGGTGACAATTGAATACGTCAATCAATCCTAATTTATGTCATATACTAACATACCAAATCTCGTTTTTTTTTATTTAAAAATATAAAAAAGTTATATTGGTGAGCCACTTTTGAGACGCACCCGGTACATAAAACTGCTTGTATATTAACTATTCAATACAATACAAATCAGTCCAACAAGTGGATATCTGACAGTGACAGTTAACAGTTGGCGTTTTGTGGATGTCGTTAGTCCAAATTTTTCCTGACTCATTGGACAGACGATATCATTTAATTAATCAAAATTATATTTTATTTACATTTCAATTGCTATTATGCCTATTTATTTACCGATTACTTACTTGATGCGATATTTTCTGAAGTACATTTTTAATAATTATTGTCATTAGCTTATTATAGCAATCTTCTGAGAATAACGTCACAAAAACAAATACTTAAAACTCAAAATATGTGTTGT